ATATATATATATATATGTATACATGTATATCTATATTTATTAAGTATTATAAAATATTCTTTTTTTATTTTATTCTTAACATATCTTTACATTCTAGAAAAATATGATGATTATTTTTAATATAAATATAAAAAAATAACATTTAATTAATTATATTTAGTTAATTTTTTAGAGAATGTTATGACTAATTCATTTAGCTGTGTAATATACATATATTAATATATATTCACATTATTATGTTATCTTACATATGAATACGGTTGTATAACGTTTTACGTTGTTTCCGTACTCTTTCATGATATTGAGTTCATTTTCGTCCTTTAACTCATTACATATTTGCTGTAGTCGTTCCATTAAACATTTTACCTATTATAATATTTAATTTCTTATTAGAAAACTTGAATAAATTGTCATATGCAGGAATTTATTCATGAAGTATATTTTTTTAAATATGTAACATTGATACAGCTTACATTATCGGTATTTATCCAAAATGAGTTATAATTTATGAGGTACGTAATACAAAATATTACAGTAGAAAGAACTTTCATTATAAGTTCAGGAGTGCATTCTGTAGTCAAAAATGTTGCAAGCTGTAATAGATAAATTTGAAGAGATCTCGAAATTATTTCCTTATTCGATTAGCAAATTATAAGTTTAAAATGGTCAACTCCTTTGTAGTGACAAATAATGTAATGAAAGATTTATAATTGAAATTATAAGCTAGTAAGTACATATCACGCGATGTTGTTAATATTTAAAGTGACTATAAAAGTTCTAAGAAACTGAGTAGTTGTCATAATTATTCATTTACGTGAAGATATAATGTGTGGTATAATTAAATATATGGAATAATACATATATATATTACAATTAATAATTTAGAATATTATATATAGAATATAATATATATATTTACCTGGAAAATAATATAACTTATCAGAATTCCAAAGTATAAGATTGTCTGAATTCGAACGAGATTTGATTGATAATAAGGCCATAAACCAAGAGCGAGTAAGAGAATCCGATTGAGGTGAAAATATTTAGACTCGATAGAGATCATCACTCTACGACGATAGAAACTTGACTGCGAAAGTCAGCGATAGTTTGCGCATCCCCTCTCTTCGATTGAATACCTTATAACTTCCATTTTCCCGTAAATTGCATTGTAAATTATCTAATTTAATTTAAAGTAGTGAAAAATAGTTCTATCAGCAAAATGTTTGGAAATTCAATAACTTTTTTCTAAGAAGAGTTTTCAGCAATAAAGCGATCAATAATATAAGAAATTGCACGGATGTTTATTTCTCATAGAAATGTACTTGTGAATTTATTTTCTGACAGAGAGTCGCGCAAGCTTTTCACATAAAGTAAAATCTACTCCACACCTTCTGCGTAAAGTACGAAATAAGGTTAATTTTACATCAATAACTTTAACTCTTTTATAGGTTATTTACACAACATTTTATTCAAAATAGTCTCCTTGGACAGCTACATTTGCCAACATTTGTCAGTATTTGAAAGTATTCCTGAAAAACATTTTCCGACAGGTATTTCAGTACTTTTGTCGCATTTTCAGTGACTTCATATTCGTGCGCAAGCGAATCCTTCAAAACTTCTTTTAGTGGAAACAGGAAAAAGTAAAGTGATACTATTGTAAGTCGCGAGAACATACATAACAGCTGTTCTAAAGTCGTGACATTATGCCAGGCAAGGTATTGCTTGACATTTAATGATCGATGTGCAGGTGCTTAGAAAGAAACGAAACCAGCTGTTTCGTGTATTCATTTTTCCGAACATTTCCTTCTCACTGCATTTCTGACACGATGAAAGATTTCGATTTACATGAAAAAACAACGGTTCTTGTTGAGTACCGAGAAAATCAATTACAAACACGATAAGAACACTGAAAAATATCAAAAAGTGATTTCTAGGAATGCTTTCAAACATTAGTAAATTTATGTAGCGCTACCCAAGGGAACTACTTTAAAAGAAATGTTATATAAATAAAGATAAAATTAGTTATTTCTATGTTATAAAGTTAATTATTATTCTATGTTATAAATTAATTTTATGTGACCCAC